CCTGCTGGTCAGAAGAATCCCAGTATTTTGAGTTGTATGGACGCTATTCCATATTTTTAATCATCCTTGTCAATTTTTTTGTCATGTTCATTTTTTTTTTTGTTACTCTTTGGGCTTTGATCTGCCTTTTTATAGCCCAGCACTCAACTGTATGCAGTTCTTCACAAATGTCTTTGGTTTTTTATTCCTCTGAATATCTTGATACTGTTGGCAGGCTTTATCACCTTGCTTCTCGCTTGATTTTTCAGATTGCATACGAGTGTGTTGAACATGAGTGTTTTTGCCTCTTAGCAAACATCCCTATCAGATTTCCACTAGTGCTATTCTCCCACATGGAAAACTGGTCATTTATTCTACTCTTTACTGCATGTCTTATGTCTATATAGGGACCAGTCCTCTAATTCCATGTCAGTTCACCTTTTTTTAAGGTGAGCATTGGTGAAGGACTTTGCAAAAAAAATTTGGTAATGAAAGTTACATCAGTCAGATTTCCTGGCCCCCAGGCTTGCTGACTCCTTTAGAAAGCTCTGCTAGATCCTGATTTACCATAATTAAAGCTTGATAGCTTGATATTAGTATGGCTACAAGTTCTCTGTTGTGACCAAATGTCAGATACTCTGTGGGACGATACATGGCTTTTGTCCAGAAACCTTTGAGAAGATGGTGTCTACATTTGTCATGTCCCATTCCTACAGCACTGAAGTGATCCTAAGCAAGTTGGTGCTCACTGTGATTGAGTTAAACTATTTCATACTTGGAGTCCTTTTTAAACTCTTAAATCTTACACAGTCCTCATAAGAAGAGGAATGTTGATATAAAAAACTCTTGGAAATCTGGACTGCAAAAAATTCATAGTTTTTTTCCTACTATGGACTTGGCTGCTTTGAACGTTCCTTTTAAAGTTTGGTTATCAGTCAACCGTACAGATTTTGAGAGGCATCCTCTTCCTCATGTTAGGTATTTTTATGTCTTTATGAAGTAATTCCTCAGACTCCCTTTAGAGCTGCTTTTTTGTGTTCTTACATACAATCTGTTTGAGTTTATACAGCGTTGTGCCACTTTTTGCTGCCTATGTAATAATTTCTTGAAATACTGTGGTGTTTGTGATCTGGGAAAGGACAAGTGTCTCTATTGCTGTTCCCTTTTAAAGCTTCGGATGGTGAAGGTCCATAAGGAAATAAATAACTTTAAACATATAGGATGAATTCCACTCAAGCTAGTCATAGGTACCTTACTGAATTGGAGACATTCACATAATTATTTAGTCCTCAGTACAGGAAAGACATGGACCTGTCTTAAAGGGGGCCTACAGGAAAGATGGGGACAGACTTTTTAGTAGGGCCTGTAGTGATAGGACAAGGGATGATGGTTTTAAACTAAAAGAAGGGAGATTCAGACTAGATAAAAGGAAGAAATTGTTTACAATGAGCATGGTGAAGGTGAAGCACTGGAGCAGGTTGTCTAGAGAGGTAATAGGATGCCCCCCCATTCCTGAAAACATTCGAGGTCAGGGTGAGCAACCTGATCTTGTTGAAGATGTCCCTGCTCACTGCAGGGGGCTTGGACCTTTAAAAGTCCCTTCCAGCCCAGACTGTTCTGTGATTCTTTGTTACAAAGCACAGATTTGTACTTCAAGGGAAACTGAGTTTTATAAATTGAACTCTTCAAAATTTTAGTAGCTGAACAGAAGATATTGAGTTAGGTGAATTGCTATAAATACAAAATGGACATCACTCTTCACAATTTCATATAAAAAATTGATTCTGTGACTCACAAAGTAAACAGCAGCTTCAGAGCTCTACAGCAGAGACGTGGCTGTCTTGTGATAGAGCAGGTGAAGACAGCAATACCAAGAGACCAGCATTTTGCCAGGTAAATGTTTGAAATGGGATGTTTTCAGCCCCTTTGCACAAACTGATTCTTACTCAGCATGGGATCATTACCAGATGACAACTACACAAATCTGGAGATATCTTGATATGTCTTGGGAATGGGGAAGAAGGTGGCTACAGGTTAACCCGAGCTGGGTCACAGCATCAGAAGCTGCATCAAAGTTGCAATGATTCAGTCCTTCAGATTCTGCACTTTTTTATGTATGAGCAGTCCCTAGAACTTTGTGGAAATACATGTGAGGGAAAAGCTCTCCCTGAACATATCAAAAGGTATTTTGGGTGTTTTTTGGTTAGTTAGTTACAGCTGCAGTGCTCTCAACCATTCTGTAATTAAAACGCATTAACGTTACACTCCCTTTTTACCTGTTTCTCAGTAAACACTGGTTTTCAGCAACAGTGTATCAGGAGAATTCCTGTGGCTGTTGTAGTGGTATTTACATTTGTCTCTAGAGTGGTGTTTGGATTTGTAAAATAATTAAGGTATGATTTAACCAAAGCTATCGTTATAAGACTTAAACTGCATATAAAATAATACACGTTTCTAAAATCGGAACAGCTGGTAAAGCAAAGTTATATTTCTCTATCAGGCATTTGCTCTTTTTTTATAGAACTGTGTGCTTTCATCTTCCAAACTTCCACGGCCACTACTGGTTCAGAGAGTAAATAAATAGTTAGGCTTATTAGTTTAAATTCATGGGTAGCAAATTCTGCATAGCAGGATTTGCATGAAAGTCAGAACACAGTTGAAGTGTTTTTTTCCTTCCTGAGAAACTGCATGTACATGTACATACACTCGGTTAATAAAGGACAGGTCAGAACAACAATCTCTTGATCAGGAGGAGAATGACTGTCTGCAGAAAGACCTTATGCATTGAGGTTAAAACACCCATTTCAAGTTCAGTGCAAGTTTTTATGGGCAAACTTAGTTAAGAAACTGCTTACAGAGCATATCTTAACTATTGTAACTTTTGAACTTCTGTTTATTCCTCTAACACACATGGAACATGAGCAAAAGCACATTTCAGGCAGTATGGAACAAATTACATTTCTGCAATTGCTCTTTCAGTTTATACTCAAAAGTGTGTCGCTGCAGTGAACTTTTTGATGAGAACTCCAGTGTGACAATTTCTGCTTGACAGAAAAAGTCACCAGTGCTATTAAAAAATTATCTTTAGAGAATGAGTTTTGTCTTGTCTCATGTCATCTAAACAGCAGGCACATCACGTTGTTTTGTGTTTTTTAACAGGTTACAACTATGGATATTTCAGCTAACAAAGATGAGGAAGAAAACTCAATGCATAATACAGTTGTCCTCTTCTCTAACAGCGACAAGTTCACTCTCCATCAGGTTAGGATAATAGTTACTGTACTTTGATTTTATTTCTCTGCTTTTAATTAGAGTAAATGAATGTCCCTGTTAGGAGTTAAATTGTACAGCAAGCTAGTTAGCTTTTACAGGTACATGTTTTCAGAATTTAGTGTGTGGCACGTGTTGGAACTCTGCTCTTTTCTGTCATTTCAGGATATGTGCGTAGTTTGTGGGAGTTTTGGCCAAGGTGCTGAGGGCAGGTTGCTTGCCTGTTCTCAATGTGGTCAGTGTTACCATCCATACTGCGTCAGTATTAAGGTGAGTGCTTTTGTTACATAAAAAATTACTTGATGACACTGTTTTCATATTGTACTTTAATAGCACTATGCTGCCTTTGGTTTTGTGGTAATTAGGGGAGTCATTAACTTGTTAGATATTCATAAGCTAATGTGACCATTATTTGTATGCGACTTGTGAAAGACTTTAATTAAATGTCATTTTATAGTATGCATTGCCTCAAGAGAAATTAACCTTTTTGTAATTTCGCAACCATAAATAGCACTGATTATCCAGCAGTTGGTTAAAATAACAGTTTGAGATATAAGCTTAAAAACTAAATACAAGCAGAATTAAAAATGGAGAAAAAATTACACTGCATCTTCATTTACTAGGGGCATAAGGTTTAGTTGATTCAATTTGTCTGTTGGCTGTCAGAATTGACAGCAGTTGGAGTTGTTAATTAATGCATTTTACATTCATTAGTCTAGGAGAGAATGTGTGAAAATTAAATTTGAATGGTATGAGATGACTTAGCAAGCACATAATAGGCTATTTACTGCAATATATACACTATACATTCTTAATTGTGTATTATATAGGTACATCTGTGTAAGACTGGGATTTTTTTCAACGTGTCAAAACTTTGTTTTAAATGTACTTTACAAAACAGCGTGTGCGTATTTTGTAGAACTATGATTTGGCTTTGTGTTTATATCCTACTCTTACGTTATATATTAATTACAGTACATTAGTTCTTTGCTTCGGAGGAGTAAAACTCCAGCATTGGTTATCACAGATAATTTATAAAAGATGCAGGATTTGTAGTGACCTGAATCCTGGCTTTACTACAGAGCTGAAAAAAAGCAGCCATGTGTTCTTCATCCCTACAGGACCAGCTACTCCTGTAAGGAGTGAACTGTCCTACATGTTTATCCAGTGCAATATATGTTCTTGATGTGCTAGTTTATCCAAAGAAATTATATTCTGGAACAGTTTCAGATGTCAGTAGTTACAGTTTCTGTCTGTTTAATCCATTCCCACTTTCTGAAGCTTCAGAAAGTCCAGTTGATAAACAGCTACTTGTGGCCAGTGTGCACAGAAGAGCACCCTGTGCTCCACCAGGCAGACCTTAAATTTATACAACGATTGCACTCCACGGAGCGGCTTTCAAGCAATTTTCACCTTGCCATTTGCAGATCACTAAAGTGGTGCTCAGCAAGGGCTGGAGGTGCCTAGAGTGCACGGTGTGCGAAGCCTGCGGGAAAGCAACGGATCCGGGCAGGCTGCTGCTCTGCGACGACTGCGACATCAGCTACCACACGTACTGCTTGGATCCGCCCCTGCAGACGGTGCCGAAGGGAGGCTGGAAGTGCAAATGGTGTGTTTGGTTGTGGGATCAGGAATCGCCACTGCTGGCCTCTGTTGTTTCTTTTTGGTCACTTCGTATTGGCAATGTCAATTGAACTGTAATAATGTTTTAATTGTATCCAAGTCAGGTGTATTAAAGAAAACAAGATACTTCTGAACTGTTTCATTCAATTATCAATTTATAGGGAAACCATTATCTCCTCTTAATACTGTTTCTTCATGCCAAAAACCACATAAGTGTAGGCAGACAAAATTTTTCTTTCAAAACTCTTGGCCATAAAAAATCCAATTTACATTCGTTGGAATGTTCATTCCAACATTCACTTGGTAAAATGAATGGGCACTTCAACAAATCCTTCTCAAAATAAAACCCTCTGAAAACCATTTCTCTTACTTGAGTGAAACACAGACAGAGGAGACCTCTCACGTGGTTAAGTCTCCATATCTCAAAGTGAATGGCGACTGGAAGCGGGAAATCCTTTGACCTCTTGAGCTGTTGTGAACACCCATCTGCCTGTTTTTGCAGACTGAAAGGACTTCTTACTCAGGATACGTCTTTAAAAGTGTTGGAAAAAATGTTGTCAGTGTTCAAAATCTAAGTAATACATTTTCATTCAATTAAAATATTGCTTGGCCTGAAATGAGTTTTCCTCTCCTCTCCCCCTTCCTCTCCAAAATGGTTAGTGATCTAAAACTTAATTACTTACCCAGTTCTAAGTAGGAGGGTTTTAAAGCCACAAAATAATCTTCCTGTGAACTGCAAGTAATAGACCATTTTGTCTGTTCTGCAGGTGTGTTTGGTGCAGACATTGTGGAGCAACTTCGCCAGGTTTAAGATGTGAATGGCAAAATAATTACACACAGTGTGCTCCCTGCGCAAGTTTGTCTACCTGCCCCATCTGCTATCGCACTTACAGGGATGAAGAGCTTATAATTCAGTGTAGACAATGTGATCGGTAAGGATTCCTAATGTTTTACAGGTTTTTCCTGTTTAAGGCTTATTTGATTTTTTTTCCCCCTAATGTAAAAGCTTAAAGATGAAGGGAATGGTCTTGTGGTAAAGAGCACTGGATTGAGTCTCCCAAGTCTCTTATTAGTTCATTCCTAGTTGTACCACAGACTTAACTATACGACTCTGGGCAAATTAATTAATCACTCTGCCTCATTTTCCCCCTCTGTAAAAATAAAACTAATTTGCCTTGCAAGACTGTTGTTGTGAAGCTAAATCTAGATTACATTGTATCAAGTAAGCAGTTAAAGTGATTGCAATATAGGGATAAAATTGTAATACTAAAACATATTTGCTTCCGGGACATTGTTTGATAGAGATTTCCTTCCTGTGGAGGGAAATAGGTAATCTGATACTGTATAGACAGTATTTAACACACACCACTGTAGGGGAATGATATATATGGAGAACCTGATTCATCATTTCTCCCTAAAAGAGTTTTTACAAGTCTTTACTTCGACCATATACTGATATTTGGGTCTCCTAAAACACCACATATTTCCTTTAAATTGTATTTTTTCCCCCACTTAATTTCTAGATGGATGCATGCAATCTGTCAGAACTTAAACACAGAGGAGGAAGTGGAAAACATAGCTGATATGGGTTTTGACTGTACCATTTGTAGGCCATACATACCACCAGCAAACGGTAAGAAGACGATTGAAACCAATGGCAGGATTGCACACTGCAATAAATAGGTTTGGAATTGTGTTATGGTTCTTTTCTCTGGTGGAGATTTGGCTCATGATAGAGGCAAGATTTTTCGTGTTTATGGTAAGGGCCTTCTGGAAGTGTCTTCAACTCTTTCGCACCGTCTAATGATTGCCTGCAAGGCCAGTGAAAACCTAGCAGGAGGGATATCTGTATAGATTTATTGAAGATAATTTGGGTAAATTACTAAGAGCATTTGGTATTGAAAAGGTGAAAGACATCTCACTTTGCCAGGTGGAAGGAAGAAAGCTCAGTTCTCTAAAACTGCAGAAGAATCTGAAAATCAGTTCCAAGCAGAAAAATTTTCTGTATTTCAGTTCTTTGAGGCCGTGTGAAGCAGCAGTAGCTATAACAGCAGTCCATAGAAGTCTTTTTCTCCTCCTCTCTCATGTTTTATTAATGCCACTCCCTCAGCTCTGTCAGTATTTAAAACCAGTGCTTCCCTCCCGAGTGGCTCTTTTTGCAAGAGTTCGCCGTACTTTCCTGCTCAGGAGTCACCACTTGCTTGTTAGTTAAAATGTATAGCTCTTCTGATGGTCTTTGCTCTTTGCAGAGGCACATGTTATCAGTGAATGTATACACCAATTTCCTCATTGGGCTGTATTACATAGTTCTGTGGCAGTGGTACTTCAGGAGCTGAGGTTACTGCAGTTTTTCTCTGAGCGCAGCTGCAGCATCTGGCCCTGTGGGATGGTGCTGGTTCATGTTATTTTGAGTGGCCTGTCAGCAGTTACACTGGCCTATTACGTGATTTATTGTCTTGCTACAAGGGTGGTATCCCAGGTCTCTTTTCTCTGCTGCAGTCTGCTACTTTAACGCAGAGCAGTGGCACCTATACCTATCTTCAGCATAAGAGGACATTAAAGTGGTCACATTAACCCTTTATTGAGGTATATGAGAGTATGGCAGGAGGAAGGTACAGGAACAGGAACCAAGCAGATGTTTCAAGAAATATTCGTATCCACCAAGAAGATGTCAGTAAGGTTGGCCTTCCTGATCAAGACAGAAGATATCATGAGGCATGTGTTTGAGAGGTTTGCCAAAAATAGTTCAGCAGAGCATCTAATGTCCTTTTTACTGGCATGTCCTCACAGCAGAGTGGCAGTAATTGTAACTTACTGCATGACCTTGGAGGTTTATGTACTCCCATGTCAACTAGAGATGGGTGTGGAGCACTTCCAAATATCCCAGGTTCATCACTATTAGAAGTAAGAATGACTTACACTTATGTATTTCTACAAGTCTCTTCATTTTTGAGATCTGCTTTCACAAGTTCAAGAAGAGGTTTTGTAAAGTGGGCAAAACAAGAAACTTGCAGATGTAACATAGATTTTTGTTGATTTTAATAATAAACTTTGGGTATTCAAAACAGAAAGGTCCAAGTAAGAAACACTGCCTCGTCCTTTCTCTTTTGAGCTGGCAGAGCTGCCTTTCAGAGATAATTAAAACCTATAATACATGAGATGAAACAACTTCACAAGATGCTATCAGAGATGTTTCACTTCCAGACGTCAGCTGTGCTGCACACCTTCATGAGGTTGTGTTGTGTAGGTTTGTCTTCCAAGGAATAGGAACCAGTCCTGCAAGACCTGTTAGGGAGTTCCCAAGTTTTCTTTTCAGTTTTTTTTCCACCTTTTTTTAAATAAGACAAGTTTCTCTGCTTACTCGTACATGTTTTGACTCGGTATATATAAAATACCTCTTTAACACGTGTACATTTGCACAGTTGCATGTCTGATTATGTCATTTGATGCATGTTCATAGAAATACTTGCATGTACTTTTATATGAAATGTTTCGGTCTTTCATTAATTCTCCTACAACTCTTTTGAAAAAGTTCTTTAATTTTTTGTTTCAAAGTGAGAACAATTAGCATTTCATAGACATAGAGGAACAAATGGTACTTAACAGTAGAAAGCTTCTTAAAATGTACCATATTGTGGGATTCTTACTGGGATGGTTCTTGCTCTTTCCATTTGATTTATCACAGATGTGTTGCAAGCATTATTACCAGCTTTTTAACTACTTTATTTCTAGAAGAAGCAGGAGCCCCTCAACCTAGTAAATTACCAATACATTGCAGATTTACTGTTGGTAGAGTAAATGCTTCTAGCACGTAGGTATTGAGAAACAGCTTGTGTTTTTCTTGCCTCAGAAAATGGAAACTTGAATTTGTAAGAGCTCTTCCCTATCTCATCATATCTGATGATCTTACAAAGTCATCTTCTTCAGAAAACAGAAATAAGAGATAAGTTTCATGATTATGGTAAGATTTGCTCTGAGGTAGAGCTCCATAAACCTTCATTACCAGGTTATTTTGAAATAAATCATCTCTGATCAGTGTTTTATCAGGTTCCTTGTGGAGTCTCAAATTATAACCTATGTCCCCCAGTGCATTGCTGTGCCGTGTAGAATTTTTTTTAGATTGCTTGAATATGATCATGGCTGGGTGCTATCAGCTGCTTGAGGTAGCAGCAGCTTTTCCTCTGTAATTCCTGCAGATCGAAAGGGATGTGTGCATCTCTTTTCTACATTCACTTCTAGATAAGCAATTCTTGACCATCTGCCCATCACTTCTGCTTTCTGTCATTTGCCCTTGTATGTCATATGCCCTGTCTGCAAATCTCACCCTTTCTCACTTGTCCCATCCTGTCTCCATCCACGCACTCCAGCTTGCTCCTCCCTCAGTGCTGTTTTCTCTTCCTGCAGGAGGCAGAGGGACCAGCTCTGCCTGGTTTTCCTCAGGTGGTTACAGCTGATGTGGTGACAGTTTTTGTAGCTGCCTGTGTGTGTATGTTCCTCCTGTGGCTCAAGGAAGCTGCCCACAGAGGCAGCGAGGAATTCGGATCACTTACTACTTCAGAGGTGCTCGATGCTGCCAGTGACAGGCGTATTATGGCTGGGAGCCTCTGTTGTGCGATTGTCATGAAACTGAATTAGGTTTTTCTTCATTCCAAAATTTAATTCAGTGTACTTTACAACTACAGAATACAAAAAGAACCATAATACTGTATGCTAAAAAAAATAACTTTTCGGGTTTTTATTATTTGGCACATTTATTATGTCGACTTCTTACGTTCTTGTGAGCTTCTGTATTTACAAAGAAATCCCTGTGTCATGCACATAGTTATGCTCTGGTAGTGTTGTTTCTACATCAACCATTTCGCTTTGTCCCTTATGCTGATTTCATTTCTCCCTAGAATTGTTCTTTTCTATTACAGCCTTACAATTGGCATCCCTCTTTCTTTTTGAAACTGGGATTCTTCTCTTTGTATTGTGTTCTGTGCAATTATTTGTTTTCAACCGCAGCTACTAAATGCTGTACGATATTCAGCATATTTAAACCCTTTTGAAAATAAGCATAATAATTTTGGTTAAACTTCAGCTAAATGCCTCAGAAAGCAATGTCCTTTTTTTGTTCAATTTTTTCTTCTCTTGAGCAGTCTTTCTCTCACAGTGCTCTGCTTCTCTGTGATCCATTTTATTGATTCTAATCCTTAATCTCCACTCTAATTAGTTCCTTTTCTGGAAGTCTGTTTGATACCATCTTCAAACACTGTTTGTTTGTGCAGCTTCTGTGAGTTGGTCTCTGAAGGCCTTACCTCTGTCACCATCAGCTTGTTTATTTGACTGTTTCAGCTCCAGTCAGACTCCAAAGCTAAAACCGTTCACAGTCTGACCTGGACCAGAAGGATGCTCCCTGTTGTTTGACTTTTAAATAAGGATTTCAAATCCCCTTTGACAGATCTCTTTCTGAATTTTTTATTTACCTTAGATTCCAATTTAATAATTGCCATCTCTTGTCTTAAAATATTATGTAAATTCTAACCAATTAAATGAACAGGTGATATCCTGTTCCACTTTGGGTATGTCTTGCAATCTGTCATTTTTCTGGTGTTTCCATTCAGTGCTTTTGAGTATCCTCCATCCTGCAGCTTGTCCCGTATGTTTTTGTTTCCCATCGGCTCAATGCTTCTTTCAAAATCTTATGTTCAGTTTATTTTCTTCTTTGTCTTTTCCTTCCATTCCTGTGTATCAGTTTTTCAGTAATTTCATGTACTAATTGCACAGAATAGGGATTGTCTGTGGGTTATACTGTGCTTCAGTTACACTTTACATAACACTTTAAAGGGTTATCGTTTTTGAAGGCAGACTTTCCCCTTCCTCATTTTTTTCTATATGCTTAGAAATCATCCTCTAGACTTCATATTGATTATTGCGTTTGGCAAAGGATTTAAGTGTTACTCGGAAGCTTTTGTGCTTTTCCTGGTCTTGCCCCTGCCTCCCATATTGTGTGTGAGATGGTCGGTGGTCTCATCTTGTGTGGCAGATGCAAAATAAATACTCCAGCTGTTTGAGACTTAAATTCAACGTAGATCAGATCTATAGGCAAAAAAATAAAAAAGCATGGATAAACTTGACTGTCTGGTGATGCTAACTGTGCCAGACTAACAGGTTTTCTGATTCTGGTTCTCTGTTCGTGAGATAAAAGCTTCTAATTTTCACTTAACTTACTCTGTCTACATAATCTTGGTAAAGTCACTACTAATATTACAAGTCTAATCTGTGCATCACAGGTTAGTGATTACAGTTACTGTAATTAAGGCAGATAGGAGGAGCATTTCTACCCCCACAACAAGAGTAGCGCAGTGTGGTAGGACGTTCTGATCATTTTTCGTTCGGTCCCACTGTTTCAGTGTTTCCTTGAAGTGCACGAGCTGTAGTTTTCAAATTGAGTTTCTGCTGTTCCATTTATCAATATTCTTATCTTGAATAAGAATTACACTATCAACAAGTCATGTGTCATCTGTTCCCAGATATATCAGAGCTATTTTGTTTCTCATATGTATTGAGTAAGAGACCTGACAGCATAGAAACAGCTGGAATCTCCTGTGCGAAGCCGGCTGAGCATGCCTGCCCCTCCTTGGGGACATACAGCAGTCGATACCCAGGTCACAAAGTCCTCCCATTTTCCATGCTTAGGTCAGCAAAACCCAAGCATCATAGCTAGCATAGAGGTTACTTTCCAACCCAGTAGATCCAGTGTATTTGGTTGCTCTTGGTCCAGTAGAAGATCATTTCCCACTGAGTTCAGTGCCGTTCAAATGCCATTCTTGGCTCTAGGAGGTTGGAGTACTTCAGTTCATATCAGGCTTGTTTTGCAGTCACACCTTCCATGACACCAAAAAGCACTTGATTTTAAAGGTGCTAGTGAATACTGCCAACAGTACAGGCTAGGGAGTTGAACGGAACTGTTTGAAGGAAAATTGACAGTTTCAGTTTAAATCAAGTCACCATTTTCAAAAGTTGAAATTATTTTCCTTATATTTTTCAGTGCCTTCTTTGGACTGTTGTGATTCATCAGTTGGAGCTCAGATTATTTCAAAATCAAAAGAACTAGGTAAAGAATGTAAATACTTAATCTTTGATCATTTAGCGTATTTCAAGGGTATATTTTTACATGAGACGAAAATTCCTTTTCTCCTATGATTTTACAGCACACACCATTGACTGTCCTTCAGTTACCGCAGCATGCTTTTCATTTTTTTCCCATTCTCTCGTCTTTCTCTTCTCTTGCCTGCCATAACTGCACTGTAATAATTACTTTAAATTATGCTTTGATCCTGCAGCCTTAGTTGCTTGCCATGTTACTAGCAGTGATAACACAGTGGGGCTGAGTCAAGCATGTACACAGATGTTTGCAGACTTGAGCTGTAGGACAACACAACTTTTCTGTTGTCGCTCAGTTTGTCTGGTTTGTGCTAGGAGTTTGTTATCCTGACGTGCCTACTTCTAAGACACTTTTTTAATGATGGTACCTCACAGCTTCCATCATGTCAGAATTATTTTTTCCATTTGATACCATACAAATGTAGTTCTGAGAGAGGGTTCTCCCCCTGAAATCTTCAATCCCAAAAAGAGGATGTTATTTTTTTTAAAAGCAAATGCTCTTTTTTAGTTCCACGTAAGAAAACAGTCCTCTGGGAAGAACTGTGTTCAGAACCAGCTGTGTTTTGAGGTGTGAGATGTTACGTAAGAAAATATTTTTGGTTAAAGGGAACAAATGTTGCAATGTTTTGTTTTCCAGAACTGTGTTGCCAAATCATTATTTAGTTGGCTCCAAAGAGCAGAAGCATCATTATAGCCTCTTCATTATTTGGTAATTCCCTGAAAATCCCCAAACCTCCACTTGCAGGGCCCCGGCACAGGTGTCAGCACCTTTCTACATGGTGAATTAGGGAATGTTAGAGTTTATTGGTAGACTCAGTTGTTGTGTAGCAGCTTGAGGAGGAAACAGTCTTGCAGGTCTTGGGAGACTTGGGTTCTGCCCATGATTTCCAATTTGATCTTGAGCAGCTCGCTTCATAGAACTTGGTTTTTGTCTGCCTATAAAACAGGACCGATAACTTGCCTGAGTTAAGGTGTAGGTACGGTGCTGAGGGCTGGATGACGGCCTTGGCCAGTAAACACCAGGGACCCAAAGACTTGGGCAGTTTTCTGCGAATGCCGGGGATACAGAAATACCTTACAAGGCACCAGTTTCCATAATCAAACCATTCTTTCTGATGAGTCCTTGATGAAAGTTATTTTGTAGTGAAATAAAGGAGTGTTGTTGGATTTGACATCAGAGTCTAAATTATAAAGCTGTAACTGTAATATGTATCAGATATCTGTTTTATTTATACCAATTTCCTCACTCATGAATCAGCTCCATTCGTGTGGATTATTAACTCTTAAAAGTGTTACTCCTAAAAAGCTAAGACTTGTAAATTAAAGAGTTTTATATTGCTGTTATGGTTCATTTAACTTTTATAGACCCACCGAAGACATACACCCAGGATGGAGTCTGCTTGACAGAATCCGGCATGTCTCAGTTACAGAGCCTAACTGTTACAGTACCGAGAAGAAAACGGACAAAACCAAAGCTTAAACTGAAGATTATAAATCAGAACAGTGTGGCTGTGCTTCAGACACCCCCAGATGCCCAGTCAGAACACTCGAGAGATGGGGAGATGGATGACAGTAGAGGTAGCAGTCTACTTTTGGCATGTCTTGTTCTCGGAGTGTTGCAGTGCGTGTGTATATTGCAGTTACCCCTGGGAGGTTTTATGACACTGATATTCATGTTCTGTACAGAATATGTTATGGAAATTACTTGAACAACAGTCACGGCTCGTTGTTGTTGTTCATTTCAGGGATTTTTCTTGTTCTGTTTATGGGTCATCCATCCGGTAGGAAACCCATCTTTCTAAGGTTGGCAGCACTGGAAATACTTTGCCTTTTTGTCTAATCCTTGGGTTACCTGTGGGTAATATTGTGCATTCACTGAGTAGAAGTGTATTTTGAGGCTCTCAAATTTAATGCAGACACCGTTTGGAAGTGGCAGTGTTGTCTCAGCAAAATGTCTTGATCAGTGTAAAGCTGGTATTTAAAACAAAGGGGAAAGTGGAGTAAAAAGCTCTTTGCTAAGAGTATTTCTTTTTTTCTGAAAGAAATGAGGTGGACTGACCTGAGAGAAAAAAATTATTTCCTTGTAAATTCTTTGGAAGTGAATTCTGGATGTTGCTCTCGTTCAAGTAGATGACGCTGTATGTAGAGTCCTACTGAAGGATTTCAGATTCCAGGATGGTGTATCCCTAAAGTATGGAGGGAGGGGAAGATTTAACAGTGATTTTTTGACCTCCAAGGCTGATGAGAGATGAAGGGATCTGCGATAACACTTGCCTATCCAAACACATCCCTGAGTGGGGGATGAGTTTTCAGTCACAGGTCGAATCCCCTAGGAACCATAAGTCTGGACATGGAGCAAAGATCTCTGCATCCCAGGGCCACTGGTACTTGTCTCATCTGCTTCCCTCACAGCTGAGCAAGCACAGCAGCCCCAGCCAGAGGAGACTGAAGGTGGCAAATCAGAGTGGGAAAAGCACATAGGAGCAGCCAGTCCCAAATCCCCACTCTTCAGCACTAGAAACAGCAGCCAGCACGGTGCAATGCCGTACTCCTGTCCTCTTTGCCATGGTCTGGCTGTACGTCCCAGTGAATATGTTGGGAGGATTGGCGTTAATCTGTGGCCTGGGGAAAGGCTTACTTACATGGCAGGTGTGAAAGTCATTATGTTAGTCATGCAGATGTCTGTTAGGAGAGGAGCGTAGGCACCCCACCTCACCACAATCTAAAGTGCTTTCTGTTTATGCAACATTGCCTCGTCGTTCATCAGATTAAATGTCATAAGAAGCTTTTTTTAGATACAGAGAGTGTACTTGAGATAACTGGGTAGTTGAACCATCAGTGCAGTTTCCGTGTTAACTTGATAGAAGTATTGTTCCTGTTGTTTGATTAGCACATCCTTAACCAGCTGCTGTTGGTTAGGAGTGTATTTTGTTTATAATAAATGGTTAACTAGTTGTTTTTCTTCAATTTCCTTTGGTATTCACAGAGTTGGGTACATTATCCTAGCATTATGCTGACTTTTAAAATTTCATCTCATGCTCTCCTATAGTTCATCAGGTGGGTTGTTGAAAGCAAAAAAAAAAAAGGTTTTGATTTTGGTTTGAAGGCATCAGGACAGAGAATTGACCTTGTTGTTCTTTTTCAGTGGTTAATCAGCTTTACTTTTACAAACATGTGCCTTTGTTCTGTATAACTTTGTCTGGTTTCATTATCTGCTTGTTGGCTTTTATAGGTTTCCCTTTTCAGCTAGATAACAAGATACATAAATGTAATAGCAGGGTATGAAAGGGAGAGCCAAAGCTTCCACAGACTAATTTCGGTTCTGATCACCTTTTTTGTCCTTTTTGAGAGTTAAAGCACGTTCACGTATGTGACAGTAACAGCACAGCATGTACAGGGTAGGTTGGCTGGGATCCCTGGATCCCTACATGTGCTCTGCAGGGTGGATCAGTGCCTGTTCTCCGAATGTCGGAAATTTCTGTACGGGCGTCAGGGTGAATAAAGCTGTGCTCCGGCTTCGAGTCAAGCACCAGTGTAGTAATTCCAGGCAAACAGAAGTAACCCTTACTTCCACTCTAAAGTTCCAGGTGGATAAAAGAGACTGTATCTGAGAAAACAGAGCTCACAGTAATTTTGTTACCATCTCATCTATAGGCTTTCATCAGGTTTGGCATTTCACCAGGTGTTCCACATTTTACAGTGCACTTGAAGTTCAGCTTGCTTTGGGAGCTTCAGCTTTGGTAGACTTATAGTGACTCTTCCACTGTTTGTAGAGCTGTGTTTCGTAAGTAAATGGGAAGGGCCACTGTGGGGTTTAGCACTCGGTGTACTGCTTTGTGTAGCAGGAAGTGTTAGCCCTCAAGCAGGTATCTCTTCTGCCAGAAGTGAATATATTGCAAAGAGAGATCACCCATGCTCTTAAAGGGAGGAGGGAATGGTTTTAAAGTGGAAGAGGGGAGATTTAGACTGGATATTAGGAAGAAACTCTTGACTGTGAGGGTGGTGAGACACTGGCCCAGGTTGCCCAGGGAAGCTGTGGATGCCCCCTCAATGGCAGTGTCCAAGGCCAGGTTGGACAGGGCTTTGCGCAGCCTGGGCTGGTGGGAGGTGTCCCTGCCCATGGATGAGCTTTAAGGTCTCTTCCAACCTAAGCCATTCTGTGATTCTGTGAATCGGCTGCAGTGGTCATTGGAGACTGCCTTTGCCAAGCCGCCAGCTTTGTTGGTAGGACTCAGAAAAGACTTCATCAGTGGGAAAGACAGGTCCATGACCCAGCTTGTGGAGGAGCAAGGGTTGTAGTTCTGCCACAGAAGTGGTATGAAAGAGTCTGGCTCTCTACTGTTTTATCAGTATTTCTCCCTCTTACAACTGTATAGGGTTTTAGGCCATATAAATTTGAGCACCTAAATTCAGCGTAGGGAATCAGAAATCCAGGATCTTTTTAAAAGGTGAGAGTATATTTCAAAAGCTTTACAGTAAAATGAAGATGTAAGGTCATTATTTTATTGACATTTTGGGAATATCAGAATCAGAATGAACTCACACTCTCTTCAACACCAAAGACTTTTTAATGCCATCGTACTTTACATTGGTTTCTACCCCGCTTTCCCACAAGATATAAACTCAAACTCAAAATTACAGTCATCTCCAAGGCTGAGTAATTCCTTTGGGCTGAATTTTCTACTGTATTGTATCAGTCAAACTTCTCTGCATAGGTAGGGCGGCTTGCAGTCAGTCACGCAGCTTCAAGTTAAGAACCCTCTGAACCAAGAGTCATTGCACGTTGCCTTCCAAGTGCAGGCTGCAGTTTTTCAGTCTGCCTTCTCAATTAAAAAAAGCCCTACCAAACGAAGTTTAGGAGGACAGTAAACAAAACAACATATATATTGCGTGTTAAATCCTATCCATGTTCCTTGACGTATGGCTAGAAGTTGCTCAGACACCTAGAAAATGCCATAGCGCAGGCTTCTGAAAGGGGTGCCAAAAAAATTTCTCAGATTTGCATATTATAACAATAGCATTTATTCTCTGGGTTTGTGTGGTTTGTCATCTCGCAGGAAATGTATGTATAAACTGAGTCTTTGCGTATAGATAGAGTGGGTTTCCCAAAAGTGCTTAGAGAGTGTGGGTATCGCATCACCCTCTTGAAAAATCTGTCATTCTCAATCAGTTTCTCAGAAATCAGTCAGATGCAGGCGTTTTGTAGGAATATCTTTGTTCCCTTTTCCAGTTAAAGTTACCACTGCCTCTTTTCTGCAGAAGGTGATCTTATGGACTGTGATGGAAAATCAGATTCCAGCCCAGAACGGGAAGCTGTGGATGATGATACCAAAGTTGCAGAAGGAGCTGATGGGATTAAAAAAAGGAAGCGAAAACCATACAGACCTGGTAGGATACAATAATTTATATCATTACGTGTCCCTTGTTTGTTTTAGCACTTTTTTTCTGTATAATTCAAAAAAACCAGCTAGAAAGTAGTGTGGAATTCTGAAATATTCTACTGCTGGTTGTTGATTTTAGATATTTTGTTCCCCATTCTGTTTAAAATACCTCTTCCAAAGGTTGCTGCTCAGCAGTCTGCCTGTTCTTAGTGTGCTGTCAATTACTGGTTAGTAGTTCAAATCCATACCTTGTATTGATTCTTAACTTCACAGGATCACAGAATAGGAAAATGTACTGTATTTGTCTAATTGATGAAGGCCAGGGTTTTTTTGTGTGTCTATGTATGTATGTATATATATCTGGCAATATCTGAACTTCAGAGTACTTTTTTGCAGTATCTTACTTTTTGAAATACTCAATGAGAGTAATTTATTGAATATTTGCAGATGACTTCTGGCAGTGAATTTTAAGGAATGTAATTATTGGATTAATTCATTTATTTCAATTTATTAGTGCAGTCGCCTCTTAATCATCTTGACCATGGGTTAGCTGTCCTGGATGCAGAAACACTGGAGCTGCCTCCAGGCAGGAAAAACTAGAGGTACCTCAGTGTCTCTGTAGGAAATAGCTCTGATTCATTAGGGCTAAAACTAAACCCAAGAAAATTAGCTATACTTAGACACAGCCTGGCTATTCAGCCCCTGTATCTCATACCTTGGTTTGTCTCACAGTCTGTGTTACGAATTGGGTCTGTGTTTCCCTATGCAGCCTCCCACTGCTGTGGATAAGTTGGTTGGAGTCCTTGCAGTCACAAATTCTGTTTTTGCCAGTCACACCGATCCTACTGGCTGTGATGGGCCCTGTCCTCTGGTTATGAAGATAGTAGGGAAGGAGAACAGAGGCAGTGAAATGACTGAGGAGGTGATGGTGAGGAATACACCGAAAGAAGGAGGGGAAAAAAGCAAGAGTTGCAACATGATCCAGTTTCTCTTGCTTCCCTCTCAGCAGCTAAACCGATCTCTGTCACTTTTCACCCTCCCCACGTCATTTCCCACACCACTGAGGAAGAGCCCTGTCTCAGCAGGTCGTGCCCATGTGTTCATTGCCTTCTATCATGGGCCCACCCTGTGGAGATGGTGGTACAAACCCACATCACTTAACAGAGGTTTCCTTTTTCTCTACAAGTGATGTACCTCAATAAGCCATTTATTTCTACTGCTGGGTCCTCAAGAGTTTCATTTGCTTAGGGTGGTTTTGGATCGTGAGCTGAGCAGCCATCTGTTAGTTTTCTGCAGCCAGCAATTTCCGTGAAAAAATGAACCAAACCTGAACCTGATGCATGTACACACACACACACACCAACTGTAGAGGGTCAGCAGCACTGCAGTCAGTCTCTAGTGAAGGATTCTGGCGTTTCAGGCAGTATCATCTTGATTAGTGATCTTTTTATTTTCTGATATGTCCATCTCTAGTACCATCATTTGGAGTGGTGGGCTCTCTGGAGCAATTTGTAGAGTTTCTAATGATTCTTTAAGGTTCTGTAATAGGTTCCATTTGGTAGATTGACTTCTGATTCTAGCGATTCATCAGCTTGCCAGGGGAGGGGAAAACCAATACCTGAAAGGTTGCCAGGTTTGGTAATTCGAACTTCTTGTGGATGTTTTACAGTCCTAAAAATCTGATCTGTTTTAATAATTACACATATACCCAGTGAGACATTAAAATTCAGAAATGTTTTGTAAAACTGAATGAAAACTCCTCAGGTATCTCAGATTCATTCCAAGACCTCTACAGATGCAGCAGTCCTTTTTACCTGCAGAATAATCTTGGCTCTCATTCTTACTGTGAAACAGGGTTTTATTCAATATATTGAATTTTTGCTTCCTTGTTAGGCATTGGTGGATTTATGGTACGTCAGAGAAGTCGTACGGGACAGGGGAAGACTAAAAGGTCCCTCTCCAGGAAAGATTCTTCTGGATCCGTTTCGGAGCAGTTGCCTGGCAGAGATGAAGGTACGTGCAGAAACTTGGTTTTAAATTTTAGTTTGTGCTTAATGCAATACAAATAATGCGACTCATCAGCATACAGTTCTTTCCAGAGATGTGCTACAAAGGAAGAAGTCTGTTTGTCATGTTGGCTTTATTAATTCAACTGACAATACTCATTCCTACATACTTACAATTTCAGCAGAGCCCATGATTTACAAAGAAACTGAAACAATTTAGTTGCAGGCTGTTTTGGGAGAGAAATAGTGAGGATTATAAGGACTGCTGTGTTGTGTCAGAGCTCTGGTGAGCCCAGCTTTGACCTGTAGAAGACAGAAAGAAGTGTAAGAAGTGAGGTAGGTTTAGAGCAGTCCTCTTTGTGATCTACCTTCCTCCAGATGCAGTCCTGAGGCAGAGGTGTCTTCTGGACTGTCAGTTTTAATATTCACCAGTGTTAAATATTCCACAACTGTGTCTCATTTTTTAATGTATCTGTTTATGCTCTGAAAAATCCTGTGAGTTCAGCGATAATACTATTGTTGCATGAAGAAATAATTCCTTTTCATTTTAAACTGGGTATCTGAGAGTTTCATAAGCTACCCTTGTGTTTTATGTTATGGAAGTTGATTTAAAAATAATACTCCATATTGTTTTGTAATACAGAAAGATTTTGTAGATATGTGTTATATTTCCCCATCAGTTGTCTTTTCCAGGGCTGAAGAATCCAATTCTGGTCTCTCTTCTCATAGCCAAGCCATTTTAATGCCTCTGACACTGTAGTACTCAGTAGATTGGGCACCTAACAAGAAGTCAGATTTTGTTTATAGGCCTCGTTCTCTTGCTTGCTATGTGTGATTGGACTAAATTATTTCATCCATCTGGATTTGTTCACACTATCTAATCTACAAAATACTGAAGTATCATTAAGGTGAGATGTGGAATATGTTTATTAGTTCAGAGCCTGTTTCCTATAAAGTCAGGAGGAGGAGGCAGCTGGTCCTAAAGGTTGGCTGACACCTTCTCAGTTACAAGACTGGCCTTTGGTTTCTCCTTTTATTCTCTCCTGTCTGTTTAGCTATTGTGTTTTTGACCTTTCTAGACCCAAATTGGTCTCTTGCTATGTATTTGTATGACATGATGGAGAGTGGATCTTTACTTACAGGATCCAGGCAGTGTTAAAAACTTAACAGTTAAATGTTGTCCTTGCTTGCATTTGTGGAACTACTTTATGAAGCCAACAAATATGTATTTTATTGGTGCAACCCAGTATTCTGGTGGGTCCTGTATTCAGATACAGTGTTGGATTTCTCTTTAGTATTAGTATTATATCTATGTTTTTCTGCTTTGTAAATATTATTTCAGTGTAGTATGCTACATTGTTTCAGGTAGGGCTAAAAATTTTGCTTTAAACTTTTTCATTTCTATAGGAATCTGCTCCTTTTAGTTAAAAAAAAAATGGCTCAGAAGTTTATTCCCCATTCTGGGTAACAGCACAATGCACATTTTTAAAAAGTGGTATTCTTAAACAAGTATTCTTCAGTTAAAAGTTTGAGCTGCTTTTCGTCTGCTCAGGCACATTTGCTTGCTAAGAAAAAAAAACAACTCAGAAAATCTCTGTATGTTTTAAATCATCGTAGCTTGCTGAGAGCCTGTCTCAGCTGCCAGTGCTCATCAGCCTTACCCAGGTTTTTGCTCCTCTTGCCATGTTCCTCCCCCTTTCTCTGCAAAGCTCACTCCCAAACAATGCAGAGGTCAGTGCTGGTGATCCTCGCTCTGCTCGCTCTCCTTTGAATGTGGTACGAGAGATTGCTGAGGTACAAAGCACAGCCGACTTTACTGCCGCAATAATACAGCTTCTTAAATAACTCCCCAGGGTCATTAACTTCATGTAATTAGCTCTGGCAAGGCAGAAGTAGCAGGACTTAAAAAGTTTTACTTTTACCTGTGGTATATTCCCTGGTCTGTTGAAATAAAATAGTGGATGATTGATGAGCACTGTGTGCTTTTGTGTTTATTAGAAAAAATAGTGCCACTTTGGAATATGATAGGTGGAAAAATGTGTAATTTTTCTTGAAGGGCTTCTTTATAGATTTCTTTTTCTAGCCTGTTCATTATTTATATGACAGTCTTTTCTTGGATTTAAAAAAAAGGTTTTTGCTTTTAACTTGAGAAAAGCTAGTGTATAAAATGAAAGGTGATAAATGTGTAACTCAGCATTAATGATTTTGGAGATAATACTTCAGAGAAATTGTCTTTCAAATATCTGGTGAATGGCACCTGTAATTTCTCTCAAATTGTCAAATTCTTGAGTGGCTTGGAGATATTTGGTACCTTGCTCTAAAGGTACAGTGGCAGCATACCGAATGTATCTGGGTGCATGGGTTTATTGAATATCACTTTAGATGTAATCTAAAGGTGGCTTTTATGTAACCAGCTGTGAACTGCCACCTGATCATGTGGGCTCAGGCAGTAAGAAATACCATATGTGATCCCAGTTGCATCGCTACCTTGTCGTACCTCACTGGTTGAAGACGACCTTTGCCTTCCGTGTCTCCGTATCTTTATTTGTGCCTGAATGTTACGTTTTAGGTTGGCCTGAGCAGCTGCCAGACACTCCAGTTGAGGAGTCTACCCCAGCTTCTGAAAATACTGAGAAAATCAAAAAGCGTTACAGAAAAAAGAAAAATAAACTTGAAGAAACCTTTCCTGCCTACTTACAGGTAAAGCTATTGATATACTTACTGTGTAAATCCATTTGAAAACTTTGTCTTTATGTGTGTTCATTCGTAGTTCATTTAAAATATTGTTTCTTTTCCAATTCTCCATTTACCATTCAAACGAAAAGGTTTTTCTGTAAAGAGCGTTCACAAGTTTGTACAGGAGCTGTGTTTATGTTAAATCTCTGGTCCTCTGGTGTTATTTCTCAATGTACGGTCTCTGCTTGCTCTGAGAGAGGAGGCAGCAGGGAAAGAAACGTTTCTTTTCTCTCTGAACTGACACGTGACATTTTCAGCGTTCAGCTCTGTAGGATGTCTTGGCCTCATCATGCTGTTTCCTCAAGATACTATTTTTTTTTCTTTTCGGAACATGATTTGATAAGGGAAACTTATTTTCATACAGTTTTGCGGTTTTATATACCCTGCATCTCCCTACCACAGTGATCTTTCCTCTTTCTCCTCCATTAATTCTGTGATGTCTCTGGCAGGTAAGAGGTAGCAGTTGGGGTTAATAACCAAGATATTAATGATGACTGAGCAACTTAGTTTCAACAAGTTTATAAACTGACTGGTTTATATATATCGCTCACTGAGAACATTTATTTGGCTCGCTGCTCTTCTCACCCATCTCTTTCATTAAAACTTTGTTATCTTGTAGATGTTCACCAAACTTCATGACATAGACTATATTGGGACTGAAAGCAAGGAATTGACAGAGAGGTTGAACAATCTGTGGCTAAAAATATTTTGTATTTCACAAGTGGGGAAGTGAGTTGGAAAGAAAATACTTAAGCAACATCTTCTTTGGCTTAATAAGGATAAATATTTTTTTCCTAATGCACATTTTACTCCTGTAAAACATAGAATGTTTCTTAAATGCTTCTTTTGCTCATGTTGGAGTAACTGATACTGAAAAAACTGTCTTTAGCTGTATTTTTAGCAGCTGTATGCTAAATCAAGATTTTAAAGACTGCATGAAAATGGAGAAAGTTCTTATATAATGAATCAAAATTGGCTTGAAAATCCCATAGGTTATTGTCAGATCACTGAGTACTCGGGCTTAGGTGAGTGGTAGCTGATCTATAATAGTTAAAGACACTGATGCACCTTAAACATCTCCAGGTGTTTTGTTACTGCAGTTTGCCATTAGGATGATTTTGTGCTAACTGAAATACAGTGAATGGTCATTCTAGAGTTTGCACCACAGTGCACTTGCTTTTATTTTATAAACATACATATTTTATTTCTTGTGTGGTCTTAGTCAAGTTGCCCTGTAGTATTCCCCTTCTTCAGCTGTCTTTGTGTGAGGAGAAATGTTTTAAATACCGAAAAACTTGTGATCTAAATTAACACTGTGCTGATACACTGTCTGTGCCACATACTCGTAAGTCTATAGCTTTTCTATATAACCTAAGGTGTGAATTTAATAATAAAATATTAATAATGGAGCTACCTCAGGTAAGTTGTATCCACCATGTCCACACTTCATAGCCTGCAAGAGATACTGCCATACTGGAAGACATGTGAGATGGAGACTGTGTTAATATATTTCTAATAATTGTTGGCTTTTAATTTTAGCTTTGTCATTTACCCAACTTTTTCAGTTTGAATCATTGAATCATTTTGTCTTCTTTGCAGGAGGCTTTCTTTGGGAAAGATCTACTGGATACCAGTAGGCAAACCAAGATGAGCCTGGATAATTTACCTGAAGAATCCCTTTCGCTCTCATGTAAAACAAATCTCACCACCAGTTTCCTGGATCCTTCATCTGACCCCCTTCTTAGCTCAACCTCCACTCCAGCTCAGGCAAAACTGGGACCTCAAGGTATACAAAGCTGAAGTTAGTGATAATTCAGTAGTTCGATTCTGTTGCTGCAACTGGGGCTTTTCAACTCTCCTTTCCACTTTTCTCACCATGTTTATCTGATGCATTTTTCAACATCCTGTGTATTACCTGTCCTTGTGAGGCTAAGTTACCTTGATTATCAGTGATAGTCAGCTCAAGGGCTCCAGCTGTTTCAGAAAAAAGCAGCGGATCACACAACAATTGGCATTTAGTGCAAATCTGAAACTCCTTGACTGTAACATACATGTCTAGAAAATCTATGAAGGTTCATTCTCTGTAAGAATAAGCATACAGTTCTATTATAGAAGAAGACAAAAATACTCAAAATATATTTTTAGTACTCTAGTGAGTATTAGTTGGATGAATATCATCCAACTTTATTTTCTTTAATGTTTTAGATTGTTTTAGGTTGCCAGTCTCCTCGGAGTTTTTGGTTCACCATGTTCTTTCTGAACATGAGTGCCCTTTCCAGGTACAGTTTGTAGCCCCCAGGCAATCTTTTGCTATTGCAAAGCCTTACTGAAGTTACTGCTGAGTTTTGCAAATAGCCAGAGGGTTGTACAGTGCTGCTGAAAGGGCAGCTTCACACAAAGGAGCAGTTAAAAGTGAAAACCTTACTGTCCCTTCTAAATTATTTTCTCTCTGTGTCTTGTAATAACACTGTTACCTAGAGGTGTCTCACCGTTCTGTATTTTTAAAAACTGTTACTATTTCCTGTGTGTATTAGTTAATTTGTGGCTTGTGTTTCAGCTCCTCCTTACAATTTTTCCATCAAGAAATGGTTACACACATTGATACAGTTTCCCATGTCCAGAGAGTAATTTGAAGAGAGGTCGCTTATTTGCAGTTGTTTCTCAGTGAAAACTCTGCTGAAGGAAAAAGCAAAAGGCTACATTATAATTAAACATTGATTGTTATATAGTTGAAACTGTGAGTCATAGAGAATGCAGAAGTTATCTTCCCCTGAAGGGGAAACTGTGCAAATGGAGTATTTCGAGGTCTGTATTTCATTGGCTCCAACACCACAAGAAAATAGGCTCACATAGACTTATTTTCACCCCAGCATTCTTTTAAAGCCAGAGAAGGACAGATTCAGAAGTCTTTGCTGGCCTAATCCAACTGCAAGATCATGAATGTTCATGTTTAGTGTTCATTACGGTAGTGTAAGATTTTGGAAATTCATGAACTTGATGTTAATTTAATGTTCTGTTTTTCCAAAATTTCAAAGGTTTTTTTTAAAAAATCTGTTCTTTATGAATAAGCAAAGTTGTAAAACTTTGTCATTTCCTCTTCTTTTTATTCAGAAATAAATAATGACAAGGTGGCTAGTAATAAATAAAGCACTAGCAACAGTTTCAGTGGATAACCCCCTGTCTTTCCCACTTTGTATATGAGGAGCTCAAAGGGCAGTGCTCTCTGGCCATAGGAATGTTCTTACAGTTGTCTCTCAACTGTTCAGATTTCCAGCCAAAATTGTGTCCAGATGGAGCTGTTTGTTGTAGTTGGAGCGCCAGTAGGTGAAGTCATCTGCCAGTATTGATCAGTTCCAGTGCAGTTTCTCTTAACTCTTTCACTCTGGTTTTGTGTGAGACAGTTATTTCCAGAGAGAGAGATGTGTTTGGAGGGGTGGAGACCCTGGTAAATTGGTTAACTGCTGAGCCAGCAACTGTCACATCTTCCCTTCTGACTGCTGCTGCATTGGAGCTGGAGGTGAGAAGAGTGTCCCAGAGCACCTGCAATATTTTCCTTGTTTTGATGCAGACCTGGCTTTGGAGCAGGAACAACGTGAGCTGCTGCATTCGCTGCATGGGGAGGCTGTAGGACTGCATTGTTACCAACTGCGTTATTTTCCTATGGTGCCATTTCCCTCAAGGATTGCTGACAGCTGTGGGAGCTCTTGCTTAACTGGATAGGCCTTTTCCGCAAGGAAAATGTTCTTCTCTTGGAAACTCCGCTAGTTTAATTCCAGGATTAAGGGTTAGATGTAGTCGTTCATCTTCCAAAGTGCTCTCAAGCATCTAAAGAAGTTACCCTGTCTGCTTTGCTTTTCCCCATGTGCATAGGGCTTCCAGGGAGTCGAACAGGCATGTGTTCAGTCTGCTCATGAACCAACATTGCATTTCTGTGACATACTCTGTGACTGTTCATTCTCAGAGCTTGGTTGAGGGTAGCTGAAGCTTTTGCCAGTCAAGATTGTGGTAGTGATGGGCATTGGCAGAGCCAGCAAGAAGAGGGGTTTTGAAGTCTTTTGTTTACTGTTAATTACTGGTAACTGACTGAAGTCAGCTTTAGTCTCCCAGTCCAGTTGGTTTTCAGTTACAAGACTCACCTTTCCCATGGTTTTGTGGGACAAACTGTGCAGTGTATTCTGCATGGGACCAGCCCTTAAAATCCTTTCCAAGACAGTGCTAGAGCAGAGCATGAACACGAAGCAGCAGATCTCCAGGGTCTCCCTGACTGTTCATGGGTAACATTGAGAGTGGGATGTGCTGCATCCTGAGTGGTCTGAGGACTGTCTGCATCTCTCTTGAGTTTCTTGGGTATCAAAAAAAGAGGCCATTTGGTGAGGTGTGTTCTGTGAAGACTGTGGCAATGTGATCTTCCGTTTAGTTTAAATAGTTTAAATTCAGTGTATTTTTTCTAGGAATGTTGAAAAAGTCCTGTGTGCAAGTAGGTTCTCCAGGGAATGCTAAAGAAATTCTCCCTAGACAAAAGGAGAGGAGTCACCTGAGTCTGTGTGCAGCTGATTGAAATGCTGCTGGGACATGTTATCACTAGGTACATCATTGCATGATTAAACATCTTAGAGTGGCTGCAGCCTTAGGAGAGGCATTTTTATTCTTTTAGATCTTCATAAATGAATAAAAGTAAATGCATCGGAAGAATCAGGATCATGCGATGGCAGTAGAACTGTGCTCTCTTAGAGATCCAGCATTATAAGCCAATTACTTTCCTTTTTGCTTTGTCTTAGTTTTCATCTCCATTCTGAAAGAGTCAAATTAATGAGCAGTATTGAGCTATTTGTTCGGCAGCAGATGTCAACCAGCTATTGATTCTGATCTGAAGCAGCTGACTGAAGTGATTTATTCGTTTCCAAGATAATACTTAGCACACATGGAATTAAAATGAGGGGGGGGAGAATAAAAATGTAAAAATATGCTTTAGATTAGATGTCTTATGTGAGACTTAGGGATCATGGAGTCTAGCCCTCAGCTATCACTGACACCCAGCCTTTTTATGGCCTTAAAAAGCTGCATCTTGAAAGCAGGTAGCTTTTTTCCAACCTACTAATCTCATCAGAAGGCCATTACAGAATCTGATTGCCTTAATAGTTATGAGACCTCTGATTTGAAGCCTGAATTTATTCATGCCCAGTTTGTAGCTATGGGTGGTAAACTATTCAGTTACATCTTTCCACCTGAGTTCTTTCTACTTATACAGTATATTTATATCAGAAGTTGAATTTTTAAGGACTGTTCCCAAGCACATTACTAAGGGCTATAAAGAAAAACAAAGTGATATAAAATAATACAGAATAATTAAAAGCCGTAGTCTCCGTGTTTCCTTCACAAGGGTTTTTTTCTCCCTGATACTTACCTGCCTTCCAGTAGGAATTGGGGAAGTTAAAGTAACAGCTAAAGTCAGTGCTTTGCCCAGCAGCCAGCTGGAGCCATCAACATCACCTTGCAGCGCCTGGTGTCAGTGAGTTACTTGCACAAGTGGTATTAGACCAAATTGACATTGTTTCTACAAGTAAAACAAACACAAAACAACAACCAAAACAAACAAACCTGACAGGCTGAATCAATGGGCTGAGGCCAACT